ATTATGACCTTGTCTAAATATGATCAGAGTCGGTGAACTCAGGGGGCTTCCATAGCCTTGGCAGCTCATGACGAGAGCCTAGGGTGATTACTGATGCCATAAATAAGAGTGTCAAAACACACACTTTTTATAAACATCGTTTCCACCATTAATGTTTAAAGCAAGAAATCTCAAAAAAGTTAAATGACTTAAGTTCCTCTCAATTTAAGTGTGTTGATTTTGCTTTGTTTTTTCTTAAATGTGTACTCATCCATTTATTTGAAAGAAAACCCATAGAAAGAGATTTTTCATTTGCTGGTTCACTTCTTGAATGCCTGCAACAGGCAGGGCTGGACCAGACTGAAGTCAGGAGCCAGGAACCTAATCTGGGTCTCCCATGTGGGTTCCAGGGACTCAAATACTTGAGCCATCTTCTGCTGTCTCCTTGCCACATTAGTAGGAAGCTGATCAGTAGAGAGGCAGGATTCCATTCTTGGCACTCCAAGATGGGATCCAGGCAGTGGCTTAATCTGTTGCACCGTAACACTGCCCCTCCTCTCAATTTTTTGGAGGTTCTAACTTTACATACTTTCAAAACACTTAAAACATGATGCGATTACATGTATATACTTAGATGCCCCTCCAATAGCCCAGCCCTAGCTGTTTTAAGCATTTGGGGAGAGCCAGTGAATAGGAGCTCTCTCTGTTTGTGTTTCTCTCTGCCTCTCAAAATGTGAAACAAAACAAAAATACCAGTAAAATTACAGGACAGGACAAAACAAAACTACTAATAAGGGGGAAAAAAAAAGATGAGGCTGGTGCTGTGGCCTAGGAGGTAAGCTTCTGCCCGCAGTGCTGGTATCCCATATGGGCACTGTTTCAAGTCCCAGCTGCTTCACTTCCAATCCAGCTTCCTACTGGTGGTGTGGGAAAGCAGTGGATGATTGCCCAAGTGCTTGGGCCCCTGCATCCATGTGGGAGACCAGGAAGAAGCTCCTGATGGGCCCAGCTCCAGCCATTGTGGCCATCTGGGGAATGAACCAGCAGGCGGAAGACCTCTGTCTTAACTATGCCCGACAAATAAGTAAACAAATCTTTAAAAAAAAATACCAAGAGTGTACTTAAAAAAAAAAATACCAAGAGTGTAACTAGCTACTCCAGCTTGCCAAATTGCTGCCTACCCAAAACTGAGACTTTAGGTATGTGTGAGTATAGTTCAAAAAGGTCATGGAAAAAATGGAATTAAAAGATAAGGTTATTTTGGTGCAAAAAGTTTGAAAGTCATACGTAGCTTTTTCACAATACACATTTTCCATGATTTTTGATGACCCTGTATGCATGGATTTATATTTTTTTGATCAGACTAAATATATTTTTACTTTCATTTCTACGCACTTTGTGAAGTGCCTTTGTATAACATTTATTCAGTTTTTCCCATTCCAGCTTTGTACACATTACCAGTATAATCTCATTTAATCCCCAACGAATCTACAATGCAGACACTATGCAGACAAGCAAACTTAGGCTCCAAGAAATGCAACAACTTGCACAGGTTATGTCAACTCCTACAATTTTGGGACCAGGCCACACTGTGACTTGGTCCTTATTTTTCTGAACCTTGGGATAAACCCATTGTTGGTTATTTGTCAGTTTATACACCCCCCCCTTTCTATGAGCAGCTGCTAAAAACCTATCAGTGAAATCAACACCAAGAAAAGTACAGGAAGCATGAAGCTTTAATCTCACTTGGTGCTCAATTTCCACCCTTAAGGGTCCCAGTGTGAGGGACTAATGTGAGGCAAATGTGTCTCAGGCACAAAATTAGAAGCTCCAAAAACTCAACAATCAAGGTCAAAATAATATTTTAACATAACACTTAAAAGTAAAAATCAACACAGATCTAATCACCGAGGGAATAAACTATCAAAAAACAGAGTTAGAGAAAGGGAGGGAGGCAGACAGAAGTTAGGAGGGAAGGAAGTGGAAAAAGAAAGACAAGACAGGGAGAGAGAGAGGAAAGGAAGGAGGAAATGAAGGGAAACAAAAGAAAAAGACAAGACAGATGAGACCCTGTACTTGCACAGTCCTGCCTTTAATTAGCTGAGTCTAACCGCTACCTCAGTGCAACTTGATTTATGCAGGTGGCAGGCAGGTGGCTGTAGTTTGTCCATTTCATTAAAAAAATTTTTATTACAGTATTAATTACCCTCAATGACCGTATTTTTGGTTGCCTCAAATTTTTATATCCAAGCCAAGTACCTTGCTTAAGTCACCCTAGTCCCAAGCCGTGGCCAGTGACCAAATATAACTTTTTAAAAAAAGTCATTTTAATGCCACAAAACACTTTGAAGTCATGATGAAGTTGGTGGTCAGAGAGCAAGTAGCAGTATGGAATCCATAGGGACTGTCTTATAAGAAAAAAACGTGTTGATACTTATCACAAAATAGACATTTAAAAAACCCACACACACAAAAAAGTCCACTCCAGGTGCTACTCATATACATTTGGCCTCAAACTAAAGGGGGCAGGTGGGTAACTTCCACAACCTCATAATGGACATCTAAGGAAACAGCTAAAATGATTAGTAGTAAAATATGAGAAATAGATCAAGATGTTCGCTCATCATATCAATTTAACATTTTATTGGAAATTTTATCCAGAGCAATTAGTCAAGAAAAAGAAATAAAAGACAACCAGATTTGAGAAAAGTAAATCTGTTCTCAGATATCATAATCTTCTATGTGAAATTAAGGATATACAGACACACAATTATAATTGATTAATTCAGCCAAGTAGTAGCAAAGATACACAAAAATAAATATTTCTATACACTAGCGATGAATCATCCAAAAATTAAGAAAGCATACACCAAATAATTCATATTTCCATATACTACCAATAAAGCAAAGATTAAGAAAGCTCATACATTAAAACATCTATCTACATCAGCGATGATTTATCCAGTAACTAAATTAAGAAAGCAATCCACCAAGACCAATGAAGCGAAAAAAGGTCATTTAACAAATGGTGTTGGGACTATATACCCACATGCAAAAGATTGAAACTGGATGTTGTATCACCACCTACGCAAAAATTAACTCAAAGTAAACCAAAGATGAAAACATAAGAGCTAAAACTTGAAAACTTAGAAGGAAACAACATAGGGGTAAATCTTCATGGTTCCTTAACAGCTACGCCACAAGCCCCCTCCCCCCTTTAAAAAAATTTTATTTATTGGAAAAGCAGAGTTAGAGAGGGCAACACAGAGAGTCCGCGATCTTCCAGCTCCGGAGTCACTCCTGAAATGGCCGCCATTCGGAGCCAGTAAAGTACAATTCCATTCGTGTCCCCCATGTGGGGGAGCAAGCACCAGGGCCAACTTCTGCTGCCTTCGCAGGCGCGTTTGCAGAGTTGGATCAGAAGCGGAGCAGCAGGGAGTTGGGGGTGGGGGAAGGGCGGCCGGAAGTTTAAGCCGCTAAAACACAACGCCACCCCACCCCCGCCCATCGCCCATCGCCCACCTTCGAGGCTACCCTAAGTCTGCTCTTCCTAAGGTCTGCCCGCCCAGCTGTTTCTCCGCCCCTATACCTCTCCCCTAAGGCATGCCCTACCCCCTTCTTCTCTGTCTCACGCTGCCCTTCACTGCCCGCGCCCGTTGCCCCTTTCTCGCCCCCTTCGCTGCTCCCCTCCCTATAGCTCGACCCCTCCTGCTCTTCTGCTCCTCTGGCCGTGGTCAACATTTCCACCTTCAGGGCTCTGCCACCCCCCTCCCCCTGGGCACCATTTCTAAAGTCAGCCTTTTGGTGCGCTTAGCACCGTTCACCACCCCACACCCACATTTCCAGAGGGTAGCGGGCCCCGAAATCTGTGCAAGCGAAACCCGCTTTTTCTGTGCACGCTGCTGGTCGTAAGGAATACGGTCTTCCTGGGTGTGTGTGTGTATGTGTGCTCCCTGCCTCTGCAAGGTAAGCCCCACCGAGCGAGCGGCAAACCAACTAACGGCTCCTTTGCCCCGTGGTCCTATACACGACCACCCTGCCATTCCTAGCAAACTGGCCCACGGCTTGCTCCTCCTTATCCTGCCCGGGCACTCGGTCTGCAACGCGGTGGCCCTGCGAAGAGCGCGCGCGTCACCAAACGGGCGCAGCCTTCCGCCAGCTGCGCGGAGCACGTGGCCCGCGCGTTTGAAAGGGGTACTCACTTCCGCGCCCTTTTCTCTGGCTAGGCGAGGAGCCTTTCCTGAACTGAAAAGAGGCCTTTTGGCCTCCTGTACCTGCCCTTTTCGGCAACTATCCTTCCTCTCCGCGCGGTTTCTATCAGCTCGGGACAGTTTTCCCACCTGAGTTTTAAGAGAGCTGGGGGGTGCGGCATCACGGGAGCAGAGGACAGGAGCAGGAGCCGGAGCCAAGGGTTCGTGCGTCCCGGATGGATGGAGTAGACTCATGGATACAGAGGGGAAGCCTCTGGTCCCGGGCAAGTTCTCGGAGCGCCACTTCTAGCCGATCCTGTGCTGAGCTCTGCTGTCCAAGGGCAGCCAACCTAAACTAGCAGGGGCCGGGATGCGGGAGCTACTTACCTAGAGACATGTCTAGAAGTGTCAGCCTTTTCTCGTTAGGATTTGCCTGCACCTTTCCAGAACGTGCTAGGGTCGAAAGCGACGCCATCTCCTCCGCTCGAGTGCAACCTGCTGCGAGCGGCAGCTGGAGTGGCGCCCCCTCACCTCCGGCAGAGCCTTTTAACTAGGTGGTTCCCCAATCAGAGGCTTTGTTTTTCCCTGTTGCTAAGTCCCAGAGGTGTCCTATCAGGAACTTGGTTCATGGTAGCCAGGAAGAAAAAAAATGGACCCGTTTTTCTAGGTGTCTTCTGACCTTTGACCCTCGATTTTTGTACTTTTTTAAAGTACCCATTTTTCTTTACTTTTCCCACTCGTGGAAAATAAAACTTTATGTTCTTGACTTAGCTGGTTTCAGCTTCCTTCTGGAAGAGATCCCACGAATACAGTACCGAGGGCTGACCCACCCGTTTGCGGTGCAACATGGTTTTGGATGACTTACTTAAAGGCGAGTCAGTGGCATTTTTTAAAAAAGATTTTATTTATTTTAGAGGTAGACTAACAGACAGTGAGAAGGAGAGACAGAGAGAGAGGTCTTCCATCCGTTGGTTCACTTCCCAAGAGGCCGAAACGGCTAGAGCTGCCCCGATCTGAAGCCAGGAGCCAGGAGCTTCTTCCAGGTCTCCCACGCAGGTGCAGGGTCCAAGGACTTGGGCCATCTTCTACTGCTTTCCCAGCCCATAGCAGAGAGCTAGATCAGCAGAGGAGCAGCCGGGATTAGAACTGGCGCTCATTTGGGGTGCCAGCGCCGCAGATGGAGGATTAATTTACTGTGCCACAACGCCAGCTGGAGTGGCATTTCTTATGTCATTGGTCCTGTTATCATGTAAGCACTAAGCAATAAATACTATTTTAAAATGTACAGGAGGCCAGATCTGTGGCACAGCGGGTTAAAGCCGCCACCTGCAGTGCCGGCATCCCATATGGTCGCCGGTTCTAATCCCAGCTGCTCCTCTTCTGATCCAGCTCTCTGCTATGGCCTGGGATAGCAGTGGAAGATGGCCCAAGTCCTTGGGCCCCTGCACCTGCGTAGAAGAAGCAGAAGAAGCTCCTGGCTTCCGATTGGCACAGCTCCAGCCGTTGCGGCCATCTGGGGAGTGAACCATCGGATGGAAGACCTCTCTCTCTGTCTCTATCTCTCTCCGTAACTCTTTCAAATAAATAAAACAAATCTTAAAAAAAAATGTTGCAGGTTTGGTGTTTTAAGCCTAGCAATTAAGATGCCCACATCCCACATCCCAGTGCCTATGTTTGACTCCCACACCAGCTTGTGACTCCAAATCCTTGCTAATATAGATCTTGGAAGGCAGCCAGTAATGGCTGGCATAACTGGGTTCATGCCACCCGTGTAGAAGACCCAGATTGAGTTAACAGCTTGCAGCTTTGGCCTGGCTGCCGTTTGAGGAGTGAACCAGTTGGATAGGATGTATCTTTCTCTCTGACTCTCAAATAAATTAAATTTAAACACACCATTTTTTTAAAAAATAAAAAATTAAATGTCAGAGAAAGCACGTTTCACACTTTGTTTTGAGGAAGTAAAAAACAGCAAATTTGAAAGCTGAAAATATTTCCAAGTATTATAGAAATCACGGCATTAATGTCTGAAGAGCTTTTTAAAATTTTTTTAAAGATAGATTTTGTTTATTTGAAAAGCAGAGTTACGGAGAGAGAGATGGGGAAGAGGCAGAGAGAGATCTTTATTTGCTGGTTCGCTCCCCAAATGGGTCTGATGGCCAGAGGAAGGACTGAAGCCAGGTGCCTCCTCCCAGTCTCCCACGTGGGTGCAGGGGCCCAAGTCCTCGGGTCATCTTCCACTGCTTTCCCAGGCCACAGCAGAGAGCTGGATCAAAGTGGAGCAGCCAGGACGTGAACCAGCACCCATATGGGATGCTGGCATCACAGGCAGCAGCTTTACCTTCTATGCCACAATGCCAGCCCTGAGATTTTTTAATTTTTTTTTTAAAAAAACAGTCATTTAAAAAAATTCTATCCATGTTTAAAAGGTTATTGAAAGGCAGAGTGACAGATCTTCTAACCACTGGTTCAATCTTCAAATCGCCACAATGGCTGGGAAGGGTCAGGCTGAACCGAAGAGTCCAAAACTCCATCTGGGTCTCCTGAGGGGTGACAGGGACCCAAGCATTTTGGTAAACTTCTGCTGTTCTCCCAGGCACGTTAGTGGGGAGCTAGATTGGAAGCTGAGAAGTTAGGATTCAAACTGGTAATATGATATGGGATTCCTGCATTGTAGGTGGCAGCTAAACTCAAATGTGGCACAATGCCAGCTCCATATATATATATATATTTTTTTTTTTTTTTTGACAGGCAGAGTGGACAGTGAGAGAGAGACAGAGAGAAAGATCTTCCTTTGCCGTTGGTTCACCCTCCAATGGCCGGCGCGGCCGGCGCGCTGCGGCCGGCGCACCGCTCTGATCCGATGGCAGGAGCCAGGAGCCACGTGCTTTTCTTGGTCTCCCATGGGGTGCAGGGCCCAAGCACCTGGGCCATCCTCCACTGCACTCCCTGGCCACAGCAGAGAGCTGGCCTGGAAGAGGGGCAACCGGGACAGAATCCGGCGCCCCGACCGGGACTAGAACCCGGTGTGCCGGCGCCGCAAGGCGGAGGATTAGCCTAGTGAGCCGCGGCGCTGGCCGCCAGCTCCATATTTATTTACTTGCATGCATTTGAGAGGCAAAGCCTCACATACACAGAGAGAGAGAGATCTTCCAGCTGGTATCACCTATAGGTGGCAGGGGCCCAAGTGCTTGGGCCTTCATGTTCTTCTGCTACCTTCCCCTGAACATTAGCAGGGATCTGCCCCAGAAGCAAGGTTGGGGGAAGGGGTAATACAATCATAGCTTCAGTATGTGATACTGGAGTTGCAAGCTGAGGCTTAACACTCTGTGCCACAAGGCTAGCCCCCTCAGCCATTCATATTAATTAATTCTCCTTAATACATTTTAAATTTAAGCTTTAACAGGATTTGGACAGTAATGGATATTGCTGGCATTTGGGGGCTGAGCAATCAGATAGGAGATCTCCTCTGGTTCTACTGTCCTCTGCTGTTCAAACTTAAAAAGTTATAGTGCTTTAAAATATTATGAAATATATGAAATTTGTATAACTTAAATTTAAAAATATTTTTAGATCATTACATTTGATTGCTTTATTTCATTTGTTTTTAAACCTTATTTATTTATTGGAAATTTGGATATATATGTATTTATTTATTGAAAATGTATATATGTTTAGAGAGAGACATAAACACAAAACACAGAGAAAGAAAGATGTTCCCTGTGCTGGTTCACTCTCCAAATGGATATCTGGGCTGGGTTAGGCCCAAGCCAGGAGCCTAGAATTCCATCTGATTCTGCCACGTTTATGGCAGGGACCCAAGCACTGAATCCATCAACTGATGCATTCCCAGGTGTGTTAATGAGCAGCTGGATCAGAAGTAGAACAGCTTATACAAGAAACTGTGCTGAGGGACTGGCTCTGTGGCGAAGTAGGTTAATTCTTCGCCTGCGGCGCTGGCATCCCATAGGAGCGCTTGTTCTGGTCCCGGCTGCTCCTCTTCCAATCCAGCTTTCTGCTGTGGCCTGGGAAAGCAGTAGAAAAAGGCCCAAGTGCTTGGGCCCCTGCGCCCACATGGGAGACTGGGAAGAAGCTCCTGGCTCCTGGCTTCGGATCGGCGCAGCTCTGGCCGTTGTGGCCAACTGGGTAGTGAACCAACGGACAGAAGACCTTTCGCTCTGTCTCCCTCTCACTGTCTGTAACTCTATCTCTCAAATAAATAAATTAATTAATTGAAAAAAAAAAGCAAGAAACTGTGCTGAGATATGATATTGGCATTGTAGATGATGACTTATCCTGGTTTGCCACAACGCTGGCCCACAACATTAGTTTATAAAAATATAAAACTGTGTGGGAGACCAGGAAAAGCACCTGGCTCCTGGCTCCTGCCATCGGATCAGAGCGGTGCGCCAGCCGCAACGCGCCGGCCGCGGCGGCCATTGGAGGGTGAACCAACGGCAAAGGAAGACCTTTCTCTCTGTCTCTCTCTCTCACTGTCCACTCTGCCTGTCAAAAAAAAAAATATATATATATATATATATAAAACTGTGGCTTGGCATTTGGTGCAGAGGGTCAGATATTTCCTGTGAGGTCGACATCCTACACTGGAGTGCCTGAGATGGAGTCAAGGCTCTCGCCCTATGCCAGCTACCTGCTTATACACACTGTGGGAGGCAGCAGGTGGTGGCAAGTGCAGTTATGTCCCTGCCACCCACATGATAGACCTGGGTTAAACTCCTGGTGCCCAGCTCCAGCTTTGCCCAGCAGTAGTGTCAGAAAAAATTTGGGCAGGAATCAGCAGGTGAAGATTTCTGTCTCCACCTCTCTACCTTTACTTTATTGTTGTTTAACATGTATATTATTTAGTTGAAAGGCAGTTTGACAAAGAAAGGGAGAGACAGAAAAGGGGATCTTCTATTTGCTGAATTACAATGAAAACGGGCGCAAAGGATGCATCTGGGCAAGGCCAAAGCCAACAAACATAAAGTTCATACTGAGAGTCCCTGTGAGTGGCAGGGGGCAAAGTTATTGGGCAAGCAAGTTATTTGTCCCCTGCCATCCACAGGGGATCTCATCTTCCAACTGCCTTTCCAGGCACATTATCAAGGATCTATGTTGGAAGAAAGCAGCCAGGAATCCAAACCTGGCACCATATGTGATGCTGGAGTTGTACTCTCAGAATTTCAAATTAATAAATTAATTCGACTTAATATATGTTTTAAAGTTAAGCTGTAACAGGATAGGGACTGCAGTCAGTACTGCGAGACTTTGGGTACTGAACAAGCAGATAGGATGTCTCATTTGTTCCTTTCTCATCTGTCTGCTGCATTTCAAATAAACGAAGTCACGAAGGTTTTTTTTTAAACATTACATTTGATTGTTTTATTTTATATTATTTTCACATAATTTAATTTCATTATTTTAATTTTATTTCATTTCATTCATTTTATTTTTAATTTTCATGTTTTTAAGCCTTCTGTATTTACTTACATAATAGAAGGTGGAGCTATACATATATAGAAAAAGGGGGACACAAGAGAGAAATTCCATTAGCTGCTTCACTCGCTAAATGGCTCTTGTGGCTGCACCAGGCCAAAGCCAGGGTCCTGAAACTCCATCCG